CCTGAAGGGATGAGACCAGTGGAGTATCTTAGATGGCCGCTCACAGGCTTTTAAGACCCCAGACACTACTCACCAAGGTAGAGTGTAGAGCATTGTCTTTATAAGCTGTGTCATGCCAATTGAGCTAGATGTTCCCCAAGAGCATGGTCCCCATAGCCTTCCATGCAGCATTTCAGTCCCTTAGGGAGTTTGGATGTGTCTATGGGGCTTCCATGACCTTTCCTTGTACAAGTTGTGCTAGTTCTCCTGTATTGTGTACTGTCTCACCCTTCACCCTAGATACCACTTATCATTTTTAAAAGACCAAAGCTTCTATTTCTGACTGTATCTCTGGTTATATTTTGAAGTTATGAAGCTAACGGATTTTATACATTTTCTTAGCTTTCTGATTTTTTGGTCAGTGGATTGTAATTTGTGCCTCATTTCACTGTCCACTGTCCAGGGCTATGCCTTCATTTTTAATGCAGATTCGTATTTTAGAGGACTCATAATTGTTCCTCTGCTTTAACTTGGTAACCGTGGTTGGTCCCTGGAAACAAGATCAGAAGTGTGTGTCTCTAGCCTTGCTTCCCTGGATTGAATGAGATAGGGAGATAGGTGACTTAAACAATAAACCTGTTTAATATTCTTGATCTGAAAATGCTAACAGATCCTCCTGGTCTTGCATTATAATTGCAAATTCTGGAAATTATGTACTTTAGCCTAACGCATGTTCTTCAAGATTACAGTAGTAGTCCTGGTTGGAGTTTTTATAAACATTCTTAAACTGCCAGATTATTAACATTTTAGAGAGGAAAGTGACTAGCTACCAGGAATGCATGTCACTAAAGCAGTTACCATATGTGTTCTTGTTAGAAGTTGCCATATTCCGTATTACAGTCTGGCATAATATTTCATGTATATCATATAGCATTGTCTCAATTTTAGCTCTTTGTAAAGTTGTGTCACTCAACAAAGAGGGACATCATTGGACTGTTGTACCATAGTTTTTTTGTTATCTCTGTTGCAAGCAAAGTTTTTAAATTGATTTTTGAATAAGGAATTTGGCTTACCTACATTTTCATCAGAGTTACATTGTAGGAGTTTCTAGGATATTACTCTTAGGTTCTTACCTTCTGCTTGAAAGAACCAGTCTCTTGAGTAGGGAAGGGCTTCTTGGTGGCCCTATCGTTGACTTTTATAAGCCAATTTTCAGTCCAGACAGCCATAGTTCCTTTCTGAAAGACAGTCAGACAATGACAAGTGTGCTGCTTTGAGCTAGAGAAGTCCCATAGATGAGGAACTAGTCTTTTATGAATAACCAGGGGCAGATTATCCAATAGACAAGGTAAGCATGGTGCTTACCTAGTTTGCCAGATCATCTGTAGTGAACAATTTCACATTTGTTTACCACATCGAAGATTCTGCTTCTAGGTATGGCTGGCATCTCTTTCCCAACCCCATAGTACCTTCCTACAGAATCAAAGCCTCTTTTCAAATTTACAGTCCCTGACAGGGACGGATGACCCAGTAAGCAAGGTAAGCACAGGGTTACTGGTGCTTACTTACTAATCTGTAGTGAACAATTTCATAGGAGTCTCACCACATCTTTGATGTTAGGTATTTAAGAGTTTCTTGCTGTTACTTTGATGTGTGAAACTCGTAAAATTGTTCACTGCAGATTAGTAAGTAAGCACCAGTAAGCCTGTGCTTACCTTGCTTACTGGGTCATCCACACCTGTGAATAATTCTCTCTTCATCCACCTCCCAAGTGGTTTGGATCCCTTTGAATGAGGAGCAAATGTTGTTAAACACAGTTTTGAAGTGTGTGGATAATGTTTTGTTGGGGAAACACCATCTACTTTATGTAATAGGACCACTGTTTTAACAAACTTTTCTACTGATGTTTAAAAAGAGAGAGGCTAAATCATTTGGATTCTTTATGAAAACAATTTATGGGAAGATTCTGTTTTAGATTCTTCTATTAAAAAGAGTCTAATAAAATTTTATAATTGCTCCTGAACAGGAAGTGCCTCTCTGATTATGACCCATGTATTGGAGTCAGCTGCATATTATGAAGATGCTTATCTGGAGGTTTGATTGCCTGTTCCTTAGAGATATGATCAGTGTGGCGCCTCTTCTTATCAGGCTTCATTGCTTTGTCTTACCTTCCAGCAGTTTCTAAGACTAAATGTATTGTCTTTTTCATTGTTCCTATGGCACATTTTATAGCTTTCCCTCCATTTTAGTGACAGCTCTTTGTCTGTCTAACCTGGTGGTGGTATAATTATTTTTCATATAATTACTTTTCAGAGGCATAGAATTTAAGATTTAATGTTATATAATTAAATAATTTGACAGTGACAATTTTTATAGTGAAAATATGTTATTTAAACCTTGGGATCTGCATTTTATCTTTTAGATATCTGTATATTAATCTGGCAATGTTATTCCATTAAAATTAAGAGAGATCAGCAGAGTATTATGCCACTTTTCCTAAGAAACCTTTCTTTCGCGATTTTTTGATCGTCTGGTATATCTCTGGTTCACACCTTCACATAGAAATACATTCCCTGAAATATGTGGTTTTTGCTTATTAACTTCAGTGATTTAAAGGGTAAATTCTATACATTTAGATACATTTGGACTACCTTCTTCCTGTCTATGTAGCAATATGTGTATTTTAGACTCAGCAGATCTATAACTGGTTGATAAGTAGATGTTGTTCCCACAACATCTGTTTCATCTTATCTTTGGCTATCCAAAAATACTATCCTGCCTAAGATTTAGAGTTTGGATAATTGTGAGATGTTCCCTTCTGAGCCAAGAGAAGAATAGTCTGGAAATGGACACTTTATAAGATCTTATTCTTAGACACTGGCTACCTAGAGCGATAGACTTCGAGAGAACTGCTAATTTTCCCCATGTCTAACTAATTAACATCAGTGTCTTCTGAGTTGTAGATTGTATTTCTAGGCAAAGCACCCCATGAATATCCTTGATAGGTTGTAAGCTTCTTAGCTTTTTTCCCTGTACATTGTTTTTGGTTAGGTATCTAAGAGTTTTTCCCCATTGTTTGTTGTAACATTGTGCCATTCTTTTGATAAAGTTGTAGGACCTCTGAAAAGAAAGCAGGAAGATAGCTGTCAGTGTTCCTCTTGAACTTGGTTTCTCAGATTGGTGACTGAGATTCTTATCAGATTCTTTTTGGTAACTTATACTCTGTACCTGTTGGATAACTTAATAGAATCTTTAATTGCTTTTGGGATATAAAAACAAAGACCCTAGAAATATCTGGTTCACCTTGAGTTTGTTGTTCCTACTTTGTAATTAATATTTATTGAGAAAGAGGTCAAAGTAACTGGGATTGAAAGACAAACTTATGCCTGACCTATACGAAGAGCAGACGTCTTTGTCAGACTCTTATCCAGTACAAATCAGACATCTTTGTCAAACTCTAATCAAGTACA